AATTCTTTTCTCTTCTGGCTAATGGCTTTCCTGCCAAAACAGACAGATAACGCTAGAAACCACATTTCCCTGGACTTTTTTGGATGCTTGGTAAAAACATAATTAAAATAATAATCTGTGAAGCAGGGGGGGGAGAACACAGTGGTGGCGGGGCTGTCTGTACCTCTCAGTGCCTGTGTCTCCTCTGGTTTTCAAACCCTGCAGATTCAGAAAGGCTTCAAGCACTCAACCCAGTCTCCTTGTTTAACGTCCAGGCTAATAACACTAATCATGGATAATTGTGCTGGTGGCTATAGATGTAACCCCTTCTGCTTGCTTTCCAAGAAATGTGGGACAAACTCCAGGAAAATGGGCTTTTACCTTGCAAGGCTGATAATCAAGCTCAAATATCGATTTCCTTGTTCGCAGAAGTTGGCATTTTTGAGTGGGTGGGGTGGGGTGGCCACTTTCTTTGTAACCAGGAGCCCCTTAATGAAGAGTGAAGCCTTTGGTGTGTATATCAGCAGTAACCCCTTTCTTTGGCACCTGTTTCGAAAGCAACATTGTTTCTTTTTTTTTTCCAATTTCAGAGTCTTTGTAAAGCATTAATTTGCTTTTTTAGTTACTACAGCATTACACGCTACAACAGTCCTGTTTAATAGTCATAATAAAGCAGTTTATGGCTTTGGGATATAAAATAATATTTTATGGAGCAAATTTAATTATGCCACATGTGAAAGGAAACAAATTGCATGCATTTGAAGCTGCCGGGCAGGTCAAGGTTGGTTAAAGTGTGGGGGGGGCAGCGGTGGGGGTAAGGGATTGTGTACATAATCGCTATTTAACCTAGCTGATATTTTATACTCGCGGCTTTTTCGACCGGTCACTCACTGGGCACCTTCTTGAGGCCGCCCCCCTCCCCCCTTTTCCATAAGATTTTTCTGTTCTCACTCATCAAGGCGGAGAGTAAAGCCGGCGCAGCAACAAGGCCCGATAATGACAAGCTACGGCTTGGTGCGGGGCTCGTTTGCTTTGGTCTGAAGGTCACGCAGTGCCGGGGCTGCCTCAGTGCAGCCCAGTTCGGCAGCGGTGCTCATCATCGCCAGTTGAGATAGCAAGTTAGCAGCCATAAATATCTTATTAAAATGCTAATGCTAATGCGCTACCGAGCATGAGCATCCTTTAATCGTACTCTGCAGAGTCATAAGAGGCCTTTCCTCTAAGCTAGCTGAGCACCGCTATTATATCACTGTGTCTCCTCACCATAGTGTCCCTTCTTTCCCTCGGTATTAAAGCCACGCTTAAGCTGAGTGTAAATGGACCTGTTTGCCGTGCTCTCTGCATGGCCAGTAGGGATCTGGCAGCCCACTGAGGTGATAAAACAAACCCTCAGGTTTCCGATCGATGTGGCTGCTAAGCTAACTAACCTGGCATGGACATCCGCAGGGCCATGCTGTCTGCGTGGTTTGCAGCCTTTCAGCAGACAGAAACGGAACGTGGGAAAATGAAAAGACAAAAATGGGATTCTGTAAACCTATTGGTGATTTTTTCAGTTTAATTGGCCCATGTCGAAACTTTTGAAAGAATTTTGCCATCATTGAATCCCATCCATCCAGCTTCCAGTGTCAAAATTATTGACTCATTCGAACGTGCATATCGATCTGTGGATTCAGATCTGTCACCATGACAGATTTTCGTTTGGCCCCCTGTAAAAGCGCCACTGCCACTTTAACGGCTGTCTGCTGGCCCCAGAGGCTGCCCTCAAAAGGCGTGATTTAGCAGGGGGCTCGTAAACACACCCTGAGCTGGGCAGCGCCTCTGAGCAGAATCTGTCGGGTCGGGGAGGACGGTTCCCTGCCGTGCTAATAGCTGCCCGCCTCCCTCCGAGTCCGATCCATGTGCAGAACTGTAATTCCTCCCAAATCCTATTACCCCATGTTGGTCGGGAAAAAACTAACCATACCCCTCGGCTTTCATAGGTAACAGAATTAGCATTTACGTATTTTCCTGTTAGCACAGTGTGCCGCACCCATACCCATGCCCTAACGCGCATTTTGTCATCATTTGGAGTACCCATAACCTTTTCAAGGCACTGGGGCATTATGGGAAACTGAGGACTATGAATGGGGAAAAGTCAATATCACAATATGGAAAGCTACAGGCAATTGGCCCAGGACATTTTAGTCTGTCATATTACTTTCATTATATAATTCCGATATGAATCACAGCATGAATGTCTCCCAGTGATTCTTTGGGAAAAGGCTCAGTTCTCCTTTTAAGTATGTTAGCTAGAACTAGCCTGGACATACAGACAGAAACCGTATGAGTCACCAGCATACCCCAAGCTGCTTACAAGCCACGCACCCCGCCAGCCTCTCTGTCCAGCCCCCATTCATCCCGTTTTCTGAGGTACAGAATAAGTTAGATTAAAAATGAGAAAGTCTGCTAATTTATTAGCTGGAATGGCATTCAGCTTGTGTTGATTTGGGAACATTCTGTCTCACTGCTCTGTCTTGACGTCAAATTCCACTCCCGGATTTCCTCACACCTCCTTCTGGAAAGCGCAGTCGCCCGGTCGCTGCATTATCGCAGGTGGCAGCCCGCTGGGGGCCTCGGGTGGCAGATTGGATTCCCGCCCCCCTCTAATTAGTGGCTTTTTTTTTTTCGGGCGATGCGAGAGGCATTTCTCCCAGGGCCCCTACATCTCTCAGGGTGATCGATAGCAGCATGACCGGGCTACCTTGATCGGGAGCAGGCTGACATTTATGACATTACAGACACCATCCATTAGTCAGGTGGTTTTAGCAGCGAGACAGGCAGGGGCGGGGCCACAGGGGCACTGGCTCCAGCTGAAAGCTGATTGGTCCTGTCACTCACTGATTCAAAACATACCTTTGGATAATGATAAGGTCACCCCTTTTGTATGAATTGTGCCCCCTACCTTAAAAAAAGCCTAGAATTAACCCTGAGGACATGTGTGTCTGATTTACAGGTTCACCAGAGCCATGGAGTGGCATTGAAACCAACCCCAGCATAAGACTCAAATTAAATGAGTGATGCATTAGTCGTGATGCCTTTTTCAGAGGACACCCCTGCATAGATCCCTATGCATCCCCATATACCTCGAGTCTCTCTCTCATCTACTCAGGCACACTCTTCATAAATAAAGGCTCTCCTTCAGTTTTACAAGGGTGAGGCTTTATTGCTGCGGTGCTGAGTTTTACGAGGCATGGACCGTACTTGTGGCGTCCCAGTGAGTGCCTTGGTTGTCTTTTTCTGAAAACGGGAGATTATGAGTTTGAGGTGGGCCACTCTCTGGGTCCCAGGAACGAAGCACGGTCCAGGAAACAGGGTGTCCGCACAGAACCTTTTGGCCCACAGCAAGGACTAAGTTTGAAGACAGGAAGAGTCTGATCCAGTCCAGCTCGCCTGTCATTGTTTCGTGTTTATTTCCTATGGTCATTCATCTGGAAACTATCTGCTGTATCTGCTCATATGGGGAACCACAGCAATGGGCCACAGGTGTCTTGGTAATCACAGACCCTGGGATAAAAAGGGTTAGGGGGTCCTCCGCATGTCCTAGTCATGTGACCATGTGACAGGTCACTCAGATGGCTATGCTGAGGGCACCCCCAACAGAAGAGCTGGAGTGCGGGAGCCAATTTGAGCCCGTGCTAAAGGCGACAGAGGCGATCGCCTAGGGTGGCATTTGATCATTTGATTAGGGGGTGCAAAAGAACGCTTGTAAAAAATCTGAATAAATATAATTATTTCCATTTTAACATTTCACTACTTTTCTTGTGAATCAGGCAGGAGTGAGCCAGATACCCTATGCTACTGAAATGTTTTTAATATTAATGAATTGAGAAAGTGAAGTGGGGGGACACTCAGCAGAATCCTGCCTAGGGCACCAGGACACCCAGGGCTGGCCCTAGTGGGAGTTAGTCCTCTTTAATTTCTGTTTTGGGCTCTGACTGGGAGCTGTTTTGAAACATACTGTAGCTCGCAGTGATGTGTTAACAAATAAAACAGCAATATTCGATCGCTTTGCTGTGCATTGTGGACTATGTTCTGGTTTGACAGAAATGGTGACATTATAGACACTAACTAAGCCACGGTTTTCTGTGGGTTACACAGGGCCCCCCCAGTGCATGCACCCCCAGACAGTCCTCCATATCTCCCTCCTCGCTCCCTGCACACCTGTACCAAGTATTTTCCGGTTCAGGTGTGCTGGGAGCTGGGAGGAAGGCCATTTCCAGCGTCCTGTTAGCTCTGGTGTCAGTCTTGGGCCCGGGAGATGTGTCTGACAGCACCAAACGGCACGGTTTCAGAGGCATTGCTCGACTCCGCCTGAATGTGGAAGACTGTGGCAGGAGGCAAACGAAGGCCAGGCTCACTTGTCATCTAGATATAGAAGAAAGGAATGTGTCCTGGGGGCCATGCCCTTGACAGGGGGCTTCTGGGGGCACCATTTTAATCTTGTGGTGACGAGATTGCTGACGGAAGGCACTGGTGAGGACGCATGCGAGCCCGACGTCGAAGGTCGCCTCGTGCCTGGCTTTGACGGATGACATCTCCACTTCCCAGTGATGGCCAATTATTTTACTTTGTGTGGAATAAATGAAATAGCAGCCTACCAGCTCTGCGCAGCACGGGGGGGGGGTAGGGGCAGGTAATGACAAACGGACACCATCTTTCATTTGTGGCTCTCATCAGGATCGTAGCCCCAAATGTCCTCTTCCTCCTCTCACCACTCATATTCCTCAGTGGGACCCCCTGGAAATTTCAACCAGGAAATTAAATCTGACCCACATGGTGAGGTTTGTTTCTAACAAGACCAGGGATGTCTTCGTTTCATCGGCAGGGACCCTGAACCACCACCGCTATTAGATGTTCCTCTCCATCAGTGTTTTTAGACGTCGTTTACCGTGTTGCCGCATGTTACTGTGAGCTCTCCTTTCCTGCTGCCCAGCCACATGTCCTGTGCATCTCACTGTCTCCTCTCTTTGTGACCCTGGCAGACCAGCAGTATTCATGGTCCCCGTTGCGGCACTTCGATGAAGACAGTCCGTCGCCCCCGGCCGGGAGCATGAAGGGTCTCTCGGGCGGTCGAGTGGTGACCCAGACTGCACCGGGGCACACCTGCCTGCTGGCCGAGTGCGAGCACCCCCAGGAGCTGGGTTTGCACCACGGGCCCGAGCCGCGGCCAACCTACCTACTGAGCCCTGTCGACGGTTGTCCCACCGAATTGCGCCGCTGCTCACCGCGCAGCTCTGTCCACTCCGACTGCACGGCGATGCCTGCCGGCGCACCCGGTGACCACGTCTCCAGCAGCACTTTCCCACGCATGCACTACAGCTCGCACTACGACGGTGGCGGGGGTGGCGGTGGGGGGACGCGGGACGACGGTGCTGTGGTGCCCTCACACGGCAGCGGAAAGATGAATCGCATCCCTGCCAACCTGCTGGACCAGTTTGAGAAGCAGCTGCCTCTGCACCGCGATGGCTTCCACACGCTGCAGTACCAGCGCGCCTCGGCGGCAGAGCAGCGTGGCGAGAGCCCTGGCCGCATCCGGCACCTGGTCCACTCTGTGCAGAAGCTCTTCACCAAGTCCCACTCGCTGGAGGGCTCCTCCTCAAAGATGAACGGCAGCAAGGGTGACGGCCACCACCACGATCATCACGGGCATCATCACGGCAGCCACCACGGGCACCACAAGCATGGAAGGCGGAGCAAGAGCAAGGAGCGCCGGTCCGACGGCAAGCACCGGCCTGGTGGAGGCGGCTGGTGGAGTTCCGATGACAACCTGGACAGCGACAGCACGTACCGGACACCCAGCATTCTGAGCCGCCACCATGCCAACCATGCCGGCCACTGCTACCCTGACGTGGGCCCGGGTCGCTTCACTGAGCTCGCCCTCAAAACGTCCCGCAGTAACAACGACGTCAAGTGCTCTGCCTGCGAGGGCCTGACGGCGGCGCCGGAGGGCCGCTTCATGAAACGCAGCTCCTGGTCCACGCTCACTGTCAGCCAGGCTAAGGAGGCCTACCGCAAGTCTTCACTCAACCTGGAGAAACCCATGATGCCCCAGGACCTCAAGCCCTCCCTGAGGTCCTGCCATTACCTGCAGGTAAGCCTTTTTCACTCTGGTCTCTGCTGAGTCGTTAAATCCCCTTTTGTGACTTCTTAGGCAGTCTTTGTCTCCTTTGGCTAATGTCACAGCACAACCAAAAGTGACAGATGCAAGACATTCACATTATAATTTGTTGGGATTGACTCGGGGATTAGCCAGACAAAGCTGAGTAGCGTTCAGATACCTGCAGAGACACTGAAGTCAGGAAGTGGCTACATGAATCCTTGCTGTAAGAATGGTTAAAATTATGCATCAGGGCTGGTAACCAGGAAGCAGTCAGTCACCTCGGTGACAGCGGTAACAGGCTAAGATTGCCCAGCCACTTCTGCACATAATAAGAGTGACTTCCTGTGGCTTATCGGACTGTACATCGCAAGCAGGCCCCTGGCTAAGGCTTTGAGTCACAAAGAGAGCTGTTAGGGAGGAAGAATCAATGACCGTGTGAAGACCCATGGTCTACAGAGAAATAAACACCCAGGAATAAGAAAGTCCTGGGATCGATGGCAGTCCAGCCTTCGCATTGACAGCAGAGTCATTCCGGATTCACTATTGTCTTGCAGGCCCACTTATCCAGTATCTGTGCCTCCTTTGGCCGACAGCTTTCGGGCTTCCCTGCAGATCAGGCCGTGGAATTGATCCGTGAAGTCGCCGCATCGCTGCGGGGAGGTGCAAGTCTCCAGCCCCACTGCTGCAGTCTAGTGGGCAGGGGGAGGGGGCGAGGCAGGAGTTTGTAGCCACGGACCACTCAGCTGGGATTCCCAGCAACACTGGCAGTTCAATCGGGTCGCCGTTTCCAGGTCAGCGTGCCACGCCGCTCCTTTGAGGAGGCGCCTGGCTCATTTACCTACTGACACACATTCCGACGTGGCTGAGAGCTGCTATAACGACGAAGGTTCCTGACAGAGTGCACTGATGGTCGCAACAGCCTGGCCGGCACAGTGAAGCACGATGACTGTCTCAGCTGGCGGCCTGAATCACGGCTCACAGGGATCATTACGGGGTACGTCATGGTGCCAGGATGCATCAGAATGGCATTCTGTGATCATGTCAATGGACACACGGGTAACTTCACGGATAGCTCACAGAAGGATGCGATTAGCTATTTGTGGCAGGGGGCAAGTTAGTGTCCACTGTGTTATCAGCATCTGGTGGTTGGTCCTGTTGGGTCTTCTGAGGAAGTGAGGCAGCGCTATGGATCAATGTTCTTGCAAACATGATGCCGTGGTGAAGAAGTTCACTCTGATTCCTTCACAGACCTTTTCTTCCTCTGTCCCATTTAGCTGACATCCAGATGGTGCAGAGCTCATTTTTGGCCACACATGGTGACTAATGTGATAATGATGGGAACTACTAGAACAACCACATAGTATCTAAAGGTTTTGTAGAAACATGAAAATGCTTCCCCAGACACGAGTACCATTGTTTAATGAATTTGGTAGACATACGCAGATTGAGGCGGGGCTCTGGCATCGGTTAAAATGTCTGAAAGGCACCAGACCATATGGGCATCACAGCTCCCAGTGAAAATCCCCCAAGCCTATAAGAGCTGACAGAATTTTTCTACGACTGATTTTCTGCCATCTGAGATCCTCTCCCTGAAGCGATGGGGGATTCCCTAATATATCTTCTTGTAGCACCTTTCTGAAGATGAATATTCTTAGTATTCATCCCGCGAATACTTGCTAGATCTGAGACATCCTCGAAAGTAAACGATGGATCATTTTCCTTCATTTTCACTTGTTTAGATCTCACGGTTCTAAACCTGGCCTTCCTTTGGCACACTTTGCTACGTGATCCTTAAGGGAAAGTTTGACTTTTGTCTACAGTACAGCCTAAACTCCATCCACACCAGATTCGTCAGGGAGGACACTGGGTTGGATGTCAACAAGTTTGAAACCCCCAAACATCCCACATACATTCTGGAGGTGTGGAGTGGAGCTTGACGAATTTCAATGGCAGTAACGAGGGTAATGCATTCCCACCATTAAATCGCTCTAGCAAATGGCTGCCGATGTAGAATGGAGAAACAAGTTTTTTATTGCTCTCTTAAAGCCTGATTAATTTGGTTTCTAGGGAAAGACAGCCCTCTTTTTCACAAAGGGTACAAAGAGGGGATTAGACTTTGATAGTTCTGCTGATAGAGCATTGCAGCAGCATTTAATAAGCTAATTAATTACCGTGTCGACTGGCCAAGGTGGACGGCCGTGAGCACCTGATTAGAGCCAGAGTGAAGCGGTGTGACGTGGTGACAGCTTGCTCGGTGTGACGGGCCACCCAGGACGTCCTCGTTATGGGAGCATGTCACTCCTGGTCTCGTTAGAGCCACCTCGCTTGACGGCACCTCGTTTTGCATTCAGCCGACGACTCACGTTTCGAAGGAAACCTGGGACCTCCAGCGAATGTGGGCCATCTTCGATCCAGGGGCCTCCTGTCTCGATGACTAGAAGGAGGCTGGACACAGCAGATGCAGAACCAGTACCTCCAGTATCAACCAGAGTCTGGTGGAGTATGGGTTTCCACCTTCTCGGTTCAGAATGCACCTTGAAAAACATCCCAGACCGCAACCTCCCATTGGGACACAAAGACGGCTGCAACCCTGATGGCTCTCAGGAACCTTCCGGACTGTTCAGCCATAGTAGCCCCCCCCCTCCCCCCTCTTCCTCTTTGTGCCAATCGCAATCACAAATTAAACAGAAATACTAGCATGGCTCACACCATGCCCGCCGGCATCGTGCCTTAATTATACGTCTAAAAATATCATACTCCTCGAAGACTTAATTAACCCCACCACTGCACGCTGCTTAGTGTTTGTGGCAAGCAGAGCTAACGCTATCTGCTGGCTCTGGCGCCGGATCCATTCCTGTCGGGTGGCGATATGGGCCCACGATTTTCCTTCACGCTCCACACGCGCTAATCCGCCATCTCGTGAGGGCCACAATGTTCTTTGTTCAGCCTGGGATTTTCGCCTATTTATCCACTGGTGTTTTTCCAGCAAAGAAAACAAACAAACGAACGAATGACTTAGCCGGCGGTTAAAGGTATCCGCTAATTGGAGTGTAATTGATCCATTATTCACGATGTGTACCGCCTCTGTCTGTGTTGTTAGGGTTAGAGGGGAGGGCAATTATTATTTCTGCTACACCACAAGGATGGTCACACTGAATGGAAATTTAGGGGTTTAATTAATGGGTTATTTTTCAAACAGCTTTTAAGTGATTTGCTATAACTGTTGTTTTCAACGTAAAGCGTTTATCTGTAATTTCCCCACACATAAATTTCCTTATTAATGTGGCAATCTTTTCTTTCTTGGCAAGAGCAGATGTGAGACAGCCGAGATTCGCTGGGTACAGGGTCCTCGCCACCCTGCAGTGTCAGAAAAAGAGAGTACCAATTTGTTCCTTTGCTTGTTACTCGCGCTGTACCCTCCAGGGTAAATGTACCTTTTAAGATACAGAAATGGACTATGAGGGACATTTTTGTACCATTGGGGGTATATTAACGTTGTTTATACCTTGGGAATGTTTCTCAGAGTCCATTTCGGGTCCTTAAATTAGTCTAAAAGATACATTTATCTACAACTAGGGTAAATTTGGCAGGCCCTTTAGGGTACAACCCCATTGACAAGCCAAGGAACAAATTGGTAGTCTCTTCCCTTATAGTGGGGGGTGGCCACTATAACACTAGGGGGTGTAAATTACGCACTTCTGGATTCTTCAGCTTCATTGGATCTCTTCTCAGACATAATCTCCAGATTATTTTTACTTTAAAACCCCTACAAAGGGATATTAGGTGCGAGGGGGTGGGTGTTTCACTTCTTCACAGAAGGTCAAGGAGGTCACACTCACAGCTGTGATACACCAGCCCGCTGCATGAATGTGTTCATTTTTCATGCCCCTCCCTCGACGAGCCCTGGTGTGCCGTGTTGTGCCATACAGGTGCCCCAGGACGAGTGGGGGGGCTACCCTGGGGCCGGCAAGGATGAGGAGATTCCCTGCCGGAGGATGAGAAGTGGCAGCTACATCAAGGCCATGGGTGATGACGACAGCGGCGAGTCAGACGGCAGCCCAGCCACCTCACCCCAGAAGTCTATCCGGCCCGATGCGCTCGTCAAGGCCGTCGTGCAGCGCCCCCTGCTGGACCCTCAGAGGTAGGACATTCCTCACCTCAGAATGGAATGCATTGGTCTTTCTGGTCTTATGTTTGCTGTTTGGGGCAGAGCAGAGATTTTGAAATCCAAGAGGGCGGTCTAGCCAATTCAACGCAACTGTGAGCGAAGCCAGGTCGGGTTCGGTATCTGTTTGCGACCTAAATCTGCATGCAGGCTGGGCTGTCTTGTGGAGGTAAAGATCAGAAATGTCCACCAAGCTTGGAGCAGAGATCTTCCTTCAGGCTTGCAGTCAGTGAAATCTGCAGGGGGCCATTTTCCCGGAGCCTGCAGTCCTTTCCGTGAGGGACGTCACGCTGTGAAGGAACCTGGCTGCTTAGGCATGAAATTCACTTTGCAGCATCATGGACATTGGCTCGCACATGGCAGCGGGATCCGACAGCACATTAAAGTCGTTAACAGGCAAATTAGCGTTGCACCGACAACAGCGTGCTCACCAGGGGTTGCTGGAATGAGGCGAGTCTTGTTTCTTTGAATATATGTATCCATAAGTAGCATCGTAAAAATAATACATTGCATCATCTCATGTCCCCATTGACCCTGATCAGGATAAGCAATCAAAGGATGGATGGATGGATGGATTAGGGTGTGACGACTTCCCTTCTATCAGTTGGCAGAGGTGCTGTAATGAAAGGATTTACCCAGGCTCTAACCCCCCTAGACAACAACATTTATTGTCACCACCCTTGTAGTAAACAGTGGGAGGGGCTCTGACAATTGAAATAGCCCAGGGCCCTCTGACCATGTGAATGTGCATTTGACAGTCGCCCCCAACGTTCACACCAAGCAGTACAGCCAAATTTGTATTTCAGGCGCTCTGTGTGGGACATTTGAGTCAGATTCGCTGTTAAACGTTTTCCCCAAACTGCAGGGGCCACATCCTTCTGTCCCCGATCAAGCCCAGGGCAAACCCATTTAATTAGCGCACTCTATTAAATATATAATAATTGGTTACCTGTCACACTTGTCACACTCTGCTCCAAATCACATTCTAGCCACTTACAACAAAATTCAGGAAAATAAAGAGAGTAACAGGACATGACAGAAGGGGGCGCCATGGAGCTTGGATGATTAAGCTGTTTTTTGGTTTCTGGATGTGAGGTCAGTTTGGTAGAGATTGAATTAGTCAGTCAGTAAAACTATGGAAAATCTGTCCAGAATGATACGGGGTTATTTGTCAAAAATAAAACCTCAAAGTGCGTTGGTAAAATATGAAAACGCGGGTTTGCAAAACAACAATACAACAGAGGCACCTCATATTTTGGTGCTATACTGGAAAATCTCTATAGGGCAATAAAATTGGACATTTATACACCTGTTAGCGATAACGTGTATGATGTGTGCTTGTTGTAGAAAACTTCTAGTGTGGAACCAGATAGAGCCCAATACAAGCAAACACTGACAGACTAAGGTACACCAGAAATGATCTAACTGTATCTATGCATCATCAGTAATAGTGTTTAATGTCCATATAACAAACTATTTATCTGTACACATGAAATGTATCAAGTTCGTGTATCATAGCTAATCACTAATGCTAAAAGTAATGAGGACTAATGGCCTGGTTTGCAGTGATGAATAATTTTTGATGAAGAACAGAAGATGGAACCATAGATGGGGTGCCTTGATGAAGCAGAGTGCAGGGATGGGTTTGTCATTTCTGGGGACCTCAAAGTCAGAAAATTATAGCTAGTTAGATGGTTTACAGAGCATGTTACTTCAGCATCCCCTAAATAAGGAGTGTCTTCATGCAACATTTATTGTAGTGATTGTTTGTGGCCAACGGGGGGCGGCAAACCTCAGGGGCCCCACATACATAAGTGGTTTGAGTTTGTGGTAAACACCGGCACTGCTCAGTGGTGTGCCCTTAAGCTGCTGAGCCCTTTTAACAATGACAGGTACGACCTGGCATCCATCTGGCTACATTACCGGCCTTCCCAGCAACAGGAGTGAGATTTCTGTTCATCTGGGTGATGTGAGGTTGGGGGCTCCGCCTGCAGCTAAAGAACAAAAAAGAAAAATGGTGACATAAAATGAAGGTGACATAAGGTGCTTTATCAAGTAAAATAAATCAAATTTTAAAGGATCTTATCAGTCAAAAGAAATTATGCTAGTCTGCACCGATATCAATTTTAAGAAAAATGAAGATAAATACTTTTCTTAGGACTCATTTTAATTTAAGAAAAAAATGAAATTACTTTATTTCTATAGAGATACTCCCTTTGTTCCCATCTTTTTTATTAAACAATATGGATTTGAATATTATGTGAAAATATGACATTTTAATATGGTTTTCGTCTCTTCCCATGAAAATGTAAAAGTGGCATTGTGGAAAAACACAATTACTATTATCTCCCAAACAAGGCCACGTTCATTGTCGAACACACAAATTCTAATTACCATATACATTCGGAAACGCATTTAAAAGGCACCTTCTTCCAAATCAGAAACCCAGTTCAGTCCCTTCAAGATTCAACAGAGAACTTTTTAATCGCCTCATCTTCTCGTGCTTTGGCAGTAATGGCGCCACCTACAGACTTGAAATGTTACAGCATACAGTGTGGGCTGTGAATTTGCAAGCAGCTTATCCCCTGGTCATAAATACATGAAGAAGAAACAGCTTTTCATTTACAAGCAATAATTCTTTCCTGTTTTATGGGTAACATTTTGCTTGTGTGGTCTGTTTGAAGCCCTTTTGGAGTAATATTATGTTTTACACACGTTTTACACATCATCAGACCCACTATTACACATGAACCCCCATCCATTCTCACTTGTTTTGTTCACCATGCATATGTCCTGCTTTGTTAGTTTGGAGATCAATCCCCTGGCTGTTTCATGACTTGGTGTGACCGGATTCGGTCCTCTTTCAGACGATCTGCCGGTTCTCTTCTAATGGTTGTGTTTCAATAGGTCTTCCTGCGGTTGCTTGTGATATCTTGGTCTGACTGGTACTTCCCCAGTGCTCTTCCTAAGGCCCATTACAAACAGGAAGTCGGCATCCCTCCTCTCGCCGTCCTGGTGCTGGACATCCCGGTGACCGCGATCAGGTGCTCCTTCTTCGCAGGGGCTCTGGATCAGTGCAGAACAAGCTCTCGCCTGCACAGCGGTCAGGGTTCCTGTGCCAGGATGCCCTCCCTCCCCCCTCCACCCCCGGCTTCACATCGGTATTCTCTGCTGGCTCTGAAATTACCGCTCCAGCACCACCACTTTGGATCCGCGCCCAACACGGTGACAGAATCCATCACGCCTGCCAAAGTTCCAAAGTTCACAAAGCACTCAAAAAGAAATGCCTGTATCACACGCTTTTTTAATCCCCGCAAGTTAGCTCCTTTTCCAGCTAATACACTGTATGATTCCCCTTGTGTCCTGCCAGAGGAATAGAGACATGGCCCCCGTAATTTTTCCCATGTTTAACAAGGATGACTGCAACAGTGGGCGTTTTTTGTTCAGGCACATTTCTCGGGCAGCCTCTCCTGGCTTCACATTCAGAGATATAGACAGTCTCCAGCTTGCTCTTTCTCCTCCTTTGGTTTTAAAGGCATGACCTATGCCCCACGCTGCCATGTTATGGACATCCCTTGTGCCCATTGGACACCCTGGAGATGACATCTAAGATGGGAAACCAGCACTTTGCAGACATTTCCCAGTGCCTTTGGTGCCATTTGCAGTACCCAGATGTGTCACACTAAGCTGTCATCATTATGCTGAATTATCGACTGCATCCTGCTCTCCCCGCCGCCCAGAGAAATTTCATATCTCAGCGTGTGACTGTGAGTTTTGGTGGCCGACGGTGTCAGAGGCAGCGCATCACGTGTGTTCCGTCTACGGAGACGCTCACAAAGCAGGAGTGAGGGTCACACACAGCTGTCTTGCCGGGCTATCTCCCAACTGCAGGTGCCGGGAAGGGGTGATGGAATCCTTCAGCGCAGAACTTATTCTCACTGTCCCTCAGACAGGAAGCCACTTCAATGGGCACAGAGCACAGCTGAGCTGTGTGCGAAATCATCCTCTCTTTATTGCCAATGATTGCCGTGCTGAGAGATGCTGCCCCATTAATAACTTAACTATGAATAATTAATCCATATGGAATTGCGCTGTTCTTCCACCAAGCCTCCTGAGTGGGCTGTGCCCTCCCTGTCCCAGGCTGACCGGGGAACGCAGATTGGTGGATCGTATTTATACACACACGCAAATGTATTAATGGTGGACCCCAAAAACAATGGCATGTGATAAAACAAGCGGCCGTGGTAGGAGATTAATGGGTCGATCAAAGGATCATGAATAGGAGATAATAGCAATGCAATCTCTCTAATTCAGATGAGGAGTGCTTTCTGTAATGGCTCCTGCCTTATTAGGTATCAGACAGGGTCTGTGGCAGACCGTTCAATCACCCGCCGTTATTTGGGGTTTAAAATAACTCCGCTTGTAGCTGTGATTATCCCTTTGAGTAGCCGGCATAATTAATCAAAATTACTCACGAAAGCACCCATTAATTCAGAATGTGACATAAGGTAATTATTCACTCAGATCATGCTGTTAGCAGACAGTCCTTACTCACTTCCTGAGATCCCAACTCCAAAATCCTTAATTCATAATAGTTTCGGCAAAGTGCCAGGAAGGCGGCCTGGCCTTCTGGAGCTCTGCTGCCAGGTGTCTTGATTAAAAGCGAGGTCACCTTGGTGCATACAGGTGGCGCCTGGACGCTCCCTTTCCGCTGGATTCTTCCACAAGGGCCTACTGCTCTTTGTTGAGTTGTAGGACATTGCAGGACAGGTCTTAGCGGATTCATCATCCATGTGTGGATCCAGGTGGTTTGTCCTTGTCTTTGACGATGATCTTGGGGAAGAGGTGAAGATCTGCAGGGGATCGACCACAGCCCCTCACGCTCACAGAGGGCCCAGGCTGGATGGGATGCAGCCGATCTGTCCCGGGTTTGACCCCGGGTTGGTTCTGTGCTGGGTTTTACCGCGGGTTGGTTCGATGTACTGGGTTTTACCCCAGCTTTATTTGCTGTGCTGGGTTTTAGCCTGGGTTGATTCTGTGCCAGGTTTGACCCTAAGTTCTGTGCCTGATTTGATCTCAGGCTGATTCTGTGGCTGCTTTGAGCCTTGGCTGGTTAGGTGCTGGGTTTGAGCCCAGGGTTTGTTCCTCATGGATATTAGGCATTCTAGTGAGAGGCTGAGACTTACTTCACTCAATAAAGGGTGGGCCTTGTTGCTCTTTTCCCCTTGTTGACTTCCTGTTTCTCTCCATGTTACTGCTATCGTATCACTCACAGAAGACAGATCACAGAGGCCGCTAATGTGGTGTAACTCCTTGATGTCCTGCAGACTGTTCCTATGTTGTTTTTCCCCCAGGATGGAGAAAAACATCTCCATCCATTACACCAAGGCCCACTGACAAAGCCCATTCGCGGTCTGCTAGCAGGCAGCTAACTGCATTATCTCCCTCATAATTAAGTCTGCACGGTGAACGGGGGGGGAGGCTTGCTTCTCGTCTGACTTCCTGTTGCCTTTGTTCAGCCATGCCTCTTCAGAGCCCCACGGGACCCCCTCACCCATTCCTCCCTCCCTATCAAGTCTATCTTCTTTCCTTGGTTTTTTAAATTTTTCCTTTTTTGATATTCGTGATGGAAATGTGCCTTCTGGGGCCAATTGGCTGACCCGTCGGTTCAGGTGTCGCCGTGGATGGGTCGCTTCAGCGCCGGCCGCGAGGGGAGATGGAGAAAAGGATCCATGTGGCATCCATCATCTCTCTCCTCTTCGCTTCGTTCCGTCTCGGTCTCGGCGCTGACTGATGAAGACTGAAATGAATGCACTGAAGTAGAGCAGATACAGGGCCTGTTCGCAGTAATAGCTTCCCCCAATACAAGCAACGTATCAGCATGTCCCGACACAGATTGCAAATGTAATCTGCATACCTCTCGCCGCACTGCGCTGCTTTCACCTGGAGCTGTTGATTTCGGTCAACAGCGATGAGCCTTTTCAGCACAATAATAAAACTTTTTTACTCCTCTTCCCTCTAACAATGTTTTTGCTCATATCTATGTGAAAACGACTGTATAGGTTTATAATTTAGCTAAAACAGCAACAGTGGCGGAACATTCTGGATGCGGCATCGTGCCGTGTTTGGTGTTCTCTGTTGGATCTTGCTGTGAAGCTACCATTAGAAGCAACCCCTCTGTAAACAGGAAACTCGGGCTACTACTGCCATCTTAAAATGCGCTTTTGCTGACTAAATGTTTTATTCCTTCTGATTATTCTCGGCCATATGGTGTTTAAAGGGTTCCAGGGTTTCCTTTCTGGATGCAGTAAGGGGTTGAACTGGCATCGCGAAGCATATGTTTATCCACAGGAAACTTACAAAGTCATTAGCGCACCTGAAAAAGAGTTAACCGGCTGCGTAATAATTGGCACTGGTGGGGGAGGTCCATTTTGCAGATTGAGGCCTGACATTGGGTTTCGGCTTTTCTCATTGGCTGACCTATGTGCTCAAGGGTGGAGCTTAAACTCATGGGGCTCCAGTAACCCCGCCCTTCCTGAGTTACATGACCTGTTTGTGTCTGTTCTCTTCTTTTGCAGCTTGTGGCCTTTGGATAAAAAGAACGGAGATATGACTAACTACATCACCAACTTTGCGGCAGACTTAAGGTGAATACGTCTGGTTTGGCAAACCTGTGCACCCTCCAACTCCCTCCATATCCTTCGACTTTCCCTTTAATTGACATGACCTCATCGACATCAATGAGCTGATTGGCTGAAACAGCTGCCGGCAGCCACTTAAACCTTTATTCCTGTTTCCACTTACCCAAAGCAATCCACCCTACAGGCATGAAGGGCACAGTGTGTATCGACACACACTCCATGAAAAAGTAATACTGGAATGTGCCCGTAGCCTGATTAAGCTTTTTTTTCCCTTTTGTAGTGAGACAGCACATCCTGCAAAGTGTCTATGGTGCCTCAGATGTCACAGACAGCCTACAAATGGCACGTTTGTAATACACAGTCTACATATAGAGTCATGCTGCATTCCCATAAGTCCTGATGATGCAGATAAACCGTTAAGTTCAGGGGAAAAAAACACCTTTGATTTGTTTATTCTGTGCTTTTTAATGCAAAGCTTTGAAAACTCTTCTCTCTCTCCCACTCCCTTCATCTTTACTCTGTCATCATCTCATGGTGCTGAAGATTAGCACAATCTATAAAGGGCCACTTTTGCAGGCATGGGGAGATTGGTGTGGGGGTGGGGGGTGTCCGTCTCTCTGACCTTGCAAACACCACTTGTTCTTTGACAGCCACTTACTCGCCAGCCGAAAGGAACCTTGCGTTGTCCTAGTTCTGTGGATGGGTCATCACAGCAATAAATGAAATGGGCAATTTTATATATGTTGTATGTATGGAATGCTATCAAATGCTGCATCTTTGGCCATGTGGTGAAACTTTCTTTTGTGGGAAACGGCAATGATGACTCCATTGCTGTCCTGCTTACTCCTGTGGGACTTACATTCTCTCCGGGATGATTTAGACTGACAGTCTGCTTGTTAGTTTCCCAGTGTGGTGGGCCCTCACTGCTGTCTCACCCCCCCCCCCTTTCCCGTTCAGTCAGAACTACCACCTGCAGGCGGCCCGTGACCTGCACCACAACCTCACACTGGATGCAACGGCAAACTACAACTCGCCCAAGTTCCGCTCGCGCAATCAGAGCTACATGCGGGCGGTGAGCACACTGAGTCAGGCAAGCTGTGTAAGCCAGGTGAGCCTGCCCTAAACGCATGCCCTCGGCTCCACTGCCACAAGGGGGCGCCAGCAGCTCCACCCAGGATCATGTGACATCACACAGCTTCAAAGTCCCACCTTCATCTGTCGAGATGCCCTCCCTGAGTAGCGAGCAGGTTTTCAGCCAGGGTTTATGAGTTTAAAACAGGAGCAATTCTAGGATTTTTTAAGGTGGGGGGCATTAGTGGGGCTATTATTCATAGAGAGGGGCCAAACTCATTCATATCATGAGCCAATGATATGTTTTGAATCGATGAGTGAGAAGGGAGGGGGCATTCCAAGAGCCAGTAAGGTTTCAGATGAGACCAGTGCACCTGTGGCCCCACCCTTGTATATGCCCCTGAGTTTAATGGAAACTAGATTTGATTCACAGCCAGATACGGGTTAATCACTGCAAATACCAAATGCACAAGTGCCAGTTTTCTCTGTTGTTTGACATTAGCCACAATGTTGCGGGTGGCTGTGAGGTGAGGGAGGGGCCGTGTCGGAAGCAGAATACATTTCTCAGATTGGAAACACAGAAACACCGTAATGATGAATTAAAACACAAAATCCTATGGAAATATTTTAGTTTTCATTGAGAAAATCTTTAAGGCGTTTCTGTTGGAAAGAATTACATATGAAGTACCTAAGTCAAATGCTGAGCTATTTACAAATTAACAATGCAGAGTACCGGTGTACTGAATCGTGTCACTGAAATGTTAAAATTGTAATTTCTGATTACCGTTATTGTTATTGCATGAAGATTAAGGACTGTAATGCACGAAAAACTGTAGATGTTAATTGAAGATATGTTGTCATATTGCATCGTTTTTGGAGAATCAGCAACCTTTGAATGCTTTTTGTAAAAGTCCCCTTCCCACCGCTACATCAATCAAACGAGATTTAAAGATACGGTACCCGGTTTATAGTTAATGAGCTCTCGCAAATAACTCAGCGGATCGCCTGCAGGCTCCTCTTCACAGATTTCCTGCTGTTCAGTCATTCCAAACATTTTATCCCCATTTCAGGCTGATGCAGGACAGACTGGCGTTGCTGACTCTGTAGTCATGTAACCTCGATCAAAATTTTGAATTTAGCCTTGAAGTCATTGCGCATAACATGACATGAGTCTTCATTTGTCCTGATGCTAAGTGTTTTGTTCAGGTCTGGCTGAACATGGGGATGTAATTCACAATGACTCCACTAACACAGGTGAACAAACTTGCATACATAATCGTCAGGACAGGGATAATGCTTCATCAACTAAACCCTTAGCTATGTTTTTAAAGTCTATATAAATTAACCACCATAGTGAACTAAGCAGGCCTTCAGTAATGATATTTTCTTAAGTCATCTGTTAGCCAGTTTAAAATGGTAACAGCAAATAAAAATAACAAGAACAACAACTCACTAGCTCAGAATTGTCTGGCTGACGTTCCATTACCTTCTAAGTGATCATCTAGTGATCCATTTTCACGAGTCAAATAAATTCTTGCCCACCTGTTTCTGCAATTGTAAATTTTATCACAGTGCTACTGCCAGCATATTTACGTGTAAAGAACCTTATTTAAAATAGAATCTGGACTTATGGGAGTGATTGGTCAATTGGGGGGGGCAAATATGAATATCCACTACGGGTGTGAGATACATAAATACTAATGAGCCGCCAGTTACTTACCACACATGAAATGGAGATGCTGTTTCCCTTCAGTGTAATCCTGATGGAAATGTCTTACATTGCTCTCAAACACAATGCAAACATCAGCAAACCTTCCAACGCACAGTGTGCATCACAGACCCCTCTTTGGTATCTGGTAAACGATGACTTAAAGAGTCCCCCTGATGACTGCAATGCACAGAATAAAGGTCACAACAGTTGTACCTGAAATAATATAAAATTTAACAATTAGTTCAATTAGATCATTAATTAGTTCACCATATGGTGATGTGTCAAACCAAGCAGGCACACGTACCAAATATGAATGAATGAAATGCCAGTTGTCCTCTTTTCCACCCGCTGTGCTTCTTTATCGCTTCATTCACTGCCTCCATGATTGATTAATAATTCAGGAATTACGTCGCTAAGAAGCATATCAATCAGTTATGTTGATCCTGGGTTCGTGTTCGGCCCTAAAACCGGAACGACACACACGCCGCGGTCCGCAGTGAGTCCGGAAGTATGCGCTTGCAGATGTACCTCAGTCATCTCCTGTCTAATTCCTCAGATGTGCTGAGCTTCTTTAAACACATGCTTCTCTCTTTCATTTCCAGCTATTACTTTGTGGCTTCTGCAAAGCTCTGCGAGATAACGCTCCCTAAAAAAGAAAAAAATAGAAAAGCAGCAGACTTTCAAACGGGACGGTGTCTGCTTTGACCATAAAACAGTCAGTGTCATGAGGGTGTCGGAGTCCATCTGCATTTTGCTAATGTTCCTCCGTGTTATTTACCGCACAAAGGAGAAGAGTCAGACTCAGACAGAGAGGGGAAGACGCGAAATTAAGGACTGCTATTCCTGTTTTTGTCTCTCAGGTGAGTGAGACCGAGGTCAATGGCCAGTTTGAGTCGGTTTGCGAGTCCGTTTTTAGTGAAGTAGAGTCCCAGGCCATGGAGGCCTTGGACCTGCCGGGCTGTTTCCGCACCCGAAGCCACAGTTACCTGCGTGCTATTCAGGCTGGGTATTCCCAAGATGACGACTGCATTCCTTCAATGACATCCTCCACTGTCACTTCAACTCTCAGATCCACAACAGGTAACAGTATGCTCCCACAGAGAAAGGCCACATCCACACATGCCCGCCAATGCACTTACATGCTGTACTCAGGGATGCCTTTTCTTGTCATTGGAGATTTTTGGGGCAGGGTAGAGCGAATGTTTGTTTGTTTGGTTGGTTGTGTTGCCCCCTTCCTCTATTTCCTGAGTGTAAAGGACTGGGGTTTGCTTGCATAGTTTGCTGCATGGACCCCCCCCCCCCCCCCCCCCCCCCCCCCCCCCCCCCCCCCCCCCCCCCCCCCCCCCAACCCCCAGGGCATTCACTACAACTCACCTGGAGGAAAAGTAACTGGTGAAAAACAGTTGATTACCCCCCTCCCAAAAAAAAAAAAAAAACATGTAAGGGGGACTACCATGTACATTCACAGTCCCCAGTGGGCTGAGAGGGGAGGGGTAGTTGTGTTGGGGATGCGAGTGGGTGAGGTATTGGGGAAGTGAGGATCAGGAAGTGGTGGTAGCTATGCGACTTCGACATGGAGAGATTCAGAAAGCCTGCCCCCTAGCTGATGTTGATGCACAAAACTTCAGCAGAACCAAGACTGGGGGTTAGTGCACAAACACAGTGTGATTCTGACCCAGGTAAGTTACCACGCTTTGGGAGACAAGGCTCTGCTGGTTGCACAAAGCAACGTAACGTGTTCAAGCTAAAAGTTAGTAGTCAGAGACACAATGCGATGTGAGCGTTTGAGTTAGAATAACCAAGTTAACAGATGGTTACAGTGTCTTAGTTTTTGGTTGTTCTGGTAATCTTGTTCTGTGACCTGAATTATTGTTTTGGACTCTGTCCTAATCGTATACATATCCTTCAGAAACGTACATATTTATAGCCGCATATAATTAAACCTCAGCGAGGGAATTTAATTACTCCATATTCTGCCTAGATGTCAGTCACGAGTGTGTGAATAACTCAGCGCTGCTCTGATTCAGTTAATTATGGAGGCAAATGTAGACCATGCCTTCATTTCTCCACTGTTTAAGCTGTTTACAAATTAACTTCCAGCCTAGCAGCTGAAGTATATTAATTTCTATGGTTTAATCGGACAGTAATTTCGCAGTGTGTTGTCAGGCGAATGGCGGGGGCTCTGTGAGACGCGCGTAGTGAATGGGCCGCCTGTCTGATTTGCGCTTTCAAAATGCGGCGCCCTCTGCTGGTGCGTGTAGGCACCTTCGATGCGACATTCTGAGCTTAGCCACTCCACTGCAACTTCTAGCTTTTTACCCAAGGCAGGGTTTGTGTGATTACACGTTGCTTTGTGCAAACAGGACACACACCCCCCCCCTTTTTCTAGCTTGATTTTTTTGATTGTTTTTTTTTTTTTTTTTTTACTATTTGTGGTGTATGCATAAACGAGTGAAGATATGAACCCTATTGAATTTTTATAGAAGGAAAATGTGAATTTAATACCTTGAGGTTTCATTTTTATTACATTTCATCCGTTGAGCATCCAGTAGTTTTTGTCTTTATTAAGACTTTCCATCAATTCGGGGTTGTACCTATTCCCATCCTTAATCTGGCTTGCCGGGTCTAAGCACTTAGAGGTTCACCTGAGACCAGGAGCACTGAGAACCAGGGGGTGCCCTCCAATCCCACGGTCGTAAGACCCAACGGACCCCTTGTTTTAGCTGTTGCTGATTTTTCCGCCAGAAATCATATCGTGGCCCATCGTTACCACAGACTCTCTTTTGTCTCCTTGGTTATGCACAGGACTCGATGGCCATGGTCATGGGGGAGGAGAGTGTGCTGGCACTTTATGAATTGTTGAAGGGTATCCCTCATGATCTCTGAAGGCTTCTATCCAACCCGTAAAATATCTAATATGTAAACACGTAGAATTTCAAGTCATAAATAAAACAAAACTTAGCTTAGAACCTGCTTCTCCTCGATGATTTGGATAAGGTGAAACTGCTGTTCCCAGTTCTTGTCTAACTTAGTCCTGAGATGGGATGTTATAAATATGGGGGAGAATGGCCCTCTGACATGGGTGAGCCTTCTTCTGGGCCTTTTTCTGGGCCTGAATGAAAGTTGGGCAACTTCATTTGGAATCCAGGGTCTTAAAATCTGAGTGATAACCTAACAGATGTACGAACCACTCCTTTTCAAGGTGAGGGAAATCACGGGTCATTACAGTAAGTAGGGTCCAGTCCGATAGGGTTGCTCATTGTCGGCGTCTGAAAGCATTCAATGATGTGCTTTAATATATTTATTTATATATATATATATTTGTAAATCGTGACGTCATTGTTATGGAGACTGTCTCTCATTATGTGTGTCACGTCTATGAGCTCGAACATGCAGACTAAAATATTTCTGTGTGTGAACAATCCACGGTCAAGCAGTCATGAGACCGTTGGGTTCATCGTAGATTGGAGGGTTTGGCACTTGTTGTCACACTGAAGCCAGAGTCTTTCACCAGGCCTTGCGTGAGGCCTTGCTAGGCTCCGTATGTGTCTCCCATGTTGGATCCAGCCGTCTGCACGACTCTGAGAAGTCAGCTTGGCCTGAGATGGGCTTGCGAAAGTTTATAAAAAAGGAATTTGGCGTTCATGGTCATTTTACCGGCGGGATTGGATTCTGCTGGTTCCGCCGAGCACTTTGCCTGCAGAGCGATTGTTGCCGAGTGGCAAAAGTCTTCTGGGAGGCCATTAGCGTTTAAATCATACCGGACCACAGACACGCTGGTCGGTCATGTGTGAAAATGGCGCACGTGCCGGTCCTGGCATTCCGCGGTACTGCATCACGCCTTTGGAAAACAGGAGGGTGACGTCCTTTCTTCTCCGGCAAGGTTCCCTCTCGGGAGGGGTTTCCTGTAGAGCGGGGGGGGGAAGGGTGGCTCAGCTGGAATTGGAGTCGGTACCTCTGAGACATTTACTGGTTTCAACATACATATTTACACTGCCTTCTCCCAATGACAAAGTGTCAGGCACAACACTGAAACAATAACCTGAATGGTTATTGTTTTTCCCTTCAAAACATTTTTTTTGGGGGGGTGGGGTTTATGGGGACACCTCACGTTGGGTTTTATGTTTGGGTCAGTATCAAAGTGTGATGCCATTTCCAAGAATGTTGGAGAATCTTATGTACTAAAACTCATAAGCATCTAGCCTATTTCTAAAGACAGGTAATTGATACTTGAGCTAAATACAATTTAAAAAGAAGAGCTTCCGGTGATTTTTCCAACTATAAAATATCACACTTTGGTATACCCCTAAATTCAGGCAGACAGACAGGAAACAAGGTCATCCTGTGGTGCTTGTGCCAAACTGTGTGTTCAGTACGTCACACAAGCTCTGTTACAATTGCTTTATCGGCTACACTTTTAAAAAATAAAAAGTCTCTCCACAGAATGCTGAGGGACTTGCCCGCGGGCGACAGAGCAATTCGGTGTTTTCCACGCTGCTGAGGGAATTAGCCGGTCTCTGACTGCGGGATTGAGGTCCCTCCTCTGGTCATGGGCTCCGGCAGCACCTGGTCCCATTCTTAAAGGATTGCTTGTTCAATAGGGTTCATACCTGCTCCTTGTCCAAGGCATGACAGGCTTGCAACCTCCGGGGTTTTTCTTTTCATCTTTCCACATGGTATGAGCCGCCACCCTTGAGCCATGTCTCTGAAATCTGTTTTATTTTCTTTCAAAACCATAACCACCCCCCCCCCTCCATTGTTGGACATTAGCGGCCGAGAGAGTGGAACGGTGAAAAGACTTTCCGAATTGTATGTCCGCTGAACGGTGAGAAGGCAGTGTAAACTCAGAGTCAAAACCTGTGAGAGTCAAAATGGAGTCTGGGCCATCGGTGCAGGATGACGATAACCCTCGGGGGGTTTGCCCATTTTAGCATGCAGCGTTCACCATGCTAGTGCATATTGACTTAATAAAAGGTGGCAAGGAAAATATAATTATTTATCTCATGAATAATGAATAGTTTAAGCATTAAAATTCAATCAAAAGTTGCAGAATAAATTGGAAACTGTAGGGAGTGAGAGTGGTTTTAAGGCCCCCCCATTTTGACTCACATGTGACGTCCCGTAAAATTCGACACTGGGAGGAGATGTTCTGTTCCAGCTGTTCCTCCCTGTAAGCCCCCCTCCCCCTGTGCGTATTTATATTTGTCTTTCAGACGGCTATGACATGGTTGAGGGCACGTCTTTACTTAACGAGGACGATTTGCATGATGACGAGTTGGACTCTTCATCAGTCTATCGGGAGCTGGGCCGCTCGTGTAGGGAGGATGATCCGCGTGGCCGTCGTAGCCCAAGCTCCACACTCACCGCCATGTCGGTGCCTGGCGTTCCCTCGCACTCCTTCCGGGCTGTGCCGCTCAAGTCGGGACCCTCACGGCGCGCCAAAGCCCCCAAGGAGCCAGCAGGGGAGGTGTCCCTGGCCAGCCTTCCCTGGAAAGAGGAGATCACAGCCATGCGCTGCGAGCTGGCCGAGCTGCACCGCGACGTCTGCGGCGAGCTGCGCACCTTCAACAGCAACTTCTCCAAGTTTGCACGCTGCTACAACACATGGGCGCCCGGTGACCGTGTTTCCGTGGGAACGCAAGCCGGCCCTGGCGGCCTGGTGCGGCAGAGCACGGCCGACGCCTCGGTCTCCTGCCGGCCTGAGCAGTTGCCACCGGTCGACCCCAGCACACCGCGTTCCGTCTGGCCCATGGTCACACCGCGCCCTGGCACCCCTGAGAGGGCGGAGCCAACCTATGCCAGTCCCGCCCGGTTTCTGTTCTCGGAGGAATGGGATCCCGACAAGCGGAGAGCCGAGTGGCGATCAGGCAGACAGAGGAGCGCCAGCCTGGAAATATGGATCCGGAAATGCACCCGGCCACCGCTGGCGTACATCTCACTGTCCTTCTAGCTGATGCTCATCCTACCAAGAAGAACGCCGAGAAAAGGAGTGTTTTCCCAAAAATACAGAACTCTAAGGACCTCGGAAATGTGATTTCCAGATCCTGAAAGGGTGTGACAATAGAGGGACTGGATCTGAC